GCCTCTCAAGATGAGATTCGCACTGTCATCTTCAAATCCCCAGCCAAATCATGTGACTTGGACCCTATACCATATCGTCAGAACCATAGTGTAGAAACATTACTTGTTCATCTGTCCGACCACATCCTTCGACAGATGGATGTCGGCAAAGTAACTGCGCTTGTGCTTTTCAATATGTCATCAGCATTTGACACCATAGATCACGCCATCCTGATCAGTCGCTTGCACTCTTTGGGAGTGCACGATGCAGCCTTGCAGTGGTTTGACTCATACCTTGCAGACCGGCAACAGTCTGTTAACATCAATGGAGTATTATCTGCCCCTGCCTCCCTTGACTGTGGTGTTCCTCAGGGATCTGTTGGCGGTCCCATGTTATTCACCATCTACATTTTACCACTCGGCCAGATCATCCAGAAACACAACCTTCAATATCACTGCTATGCTGATGACATACAGCTGTATCAATCCTTCAATTCATCTCAACCCAATGCTGTGTCTGCCCTGGAGAATTTTGAGGCTTGCATTGATGAGATCAAGACATGGATGATGACAAACAGTCTCAAATTGAATGACAACAAGTCTGAATTTATCCTGTGTGGCTCAAAACAACAACTCGCCAAGTTCAATATCACCAGCATTAGGATTGGAGATTGCCACATCCATCCTTCCAGCAAGTGTCGCAACCTAGGTGTCACTTTCGACCCCCACATGTCCCCACATGATCAGATATCAGCAGTGTCAAAATCAGTCAGATTTCATCTCCGTAATCTTGTCTTCATATCGGAAGTATCTAAATCGTACGGCCACTGAGCAACTAGTCCATGCATTTATAACTTTGCGCTTAGATGTTTGTTATTCACTCATGTATAACCTGCCACACCACCGGATAACAAACTTCAACGCCTCCAAAATGCCACTGTTTGCCTCATCACCTTATCCAGACGCACCACTCACATCACCCCCGTCTTAAGGCCCTTCACTGGCTCCCCATCGCTGATCGCATTGCCTTCAAGATCCTCCTCGCTTTCAAGTCACTACAAGGAACTTCACTGGACTACATAACGGACATTATCACGAAATATCAGCCGTCACGTAGTCTTCATTCGGCCGGAGTGCTACAGCTTACTGTTCCCTGCACCAACCACTCTTGGGGAGACCGGTCTTTCTCAAGCGCCGCTCCCGAACTCTGGAACAATCTACCCCTTGCAATTCGCCAGTCATCATCATTGTCTGTATTTAAGTCTTCTCTGAAAACTCATATGTTTACCTCACGTTTTTGTATTGTTTTTAAATGAGTTGATGTTTATTACTTCTGTCACTAATTTCTGTTATTCAAATTTAACTTAATTTATACTGTAATTGTTTTGTATGTATTGTTCGCCAGGAGCGTCTTGCTTGGCGGATATCGGTGCCTTATAAATGTTCATTATTAGTATTAATATTTCCAAACGTGTCAAGTGACACATTTTTGGAAATGTCTGTGAATTGGTCCCCCCCCATGCATTGCTATTTGTACTTGGTTTGCAATAGGGCTTGCTCAATGATGTCCAAATCTGTAGGAGAGCTGCAACTGCGTATTTTACGCAATATATCATGCATTGCGCAGTGTTGAAAATGTTCCAAACATGTGCGCTTATTGCTTGAAATATTTTTCGAATTTCGACGCGGCCCATACTCGTTATGCAATTGGATGCTCAGAATGTTGATGCACGCGGCTGGTCTGTAGGAAATGACGTCATTTTACAAGACCTATTGGGGAATGCACAAATGGGTGACAACCTTCTCGCATGCTGCCAATTTCCAAACGTTTGTCAAGTGACACATTTTTGGCAATTTCTGTAAATCCGGCCTTCCCCCATGCATTCTAATTTGTAATTGGTTGCAATTGGGGGATCTGAGAATGAGTGACAACCTTGCATGATGTCAATTTGCAAACATGTGTCAAGAGACATTTGTGGAAATTTCTGTTTATCTGCCCCCCCCCATATGTTCTAATCCCCCCCCCCCCCCCCCATAATGTGTCAAGCGACACATTTTTGGAAATTTCTGTAAATCCCCCCATGTGCTCTAATTTGTACTCGGTTTGCATTCGGGGGGATTTACAAATGAGTGACAACCTTCTCGCATGCTATCAGTTTCCAAACATGTGTCAAGTGACACATTTTTGGAAATTTCTGTGAATCCTACTCCCTTATGTGTTCTAATTTGTACTTAATTCGCAAATGGTTGACAACCTTCTGGCATGTTGTCAATTTGCAGAAAACAAAATAAGATCCTTTCCAAAGATGTGTCAAGTGACACATTTTTGGAAATTTCTGTGAATCTGCCACTTCCCGAATGCATTCCAATTTGTACTTAGTTTGCAATTGGGAATCCGTGAATGGTTGACAACTTTCTGCCATGCTCTCAATTTGAAGAAAACAAAAGAAGATCATTTCCAAAGATTTGTCATGTGACACAGTTTTGGAAATTTTTGTAAATCCCCCAATGCTTTGTTACAATTTGGGAAGCCACAAATGAATGAAAACCTTCTCGCATACCTTCTTGCGTGTCAAGTGACGCACTTTTGAAAATTTCTGTGAATTGGCTCCTCCCCCATGCTTCTAATTTGTACTTGGTTTGCAATTTGGGAATCCACGAATGGGTCCAAACCTTGCTGTTAATTTCCATAGATGTTCATAGGAGTTATTAAGGAAAATTCTGTGAATCTGGCCCCCTTCCCCATTGTGTCAATGGAAATTTCTGTAAATCCCCCCATATGTTCTAATTTTTGTATTTAGTTTGTTATCCACGAATGGTTGACACCTTTCTGACATGCTGTCAATTTGAAGAAAAGAAAAGATCATTTCCAAAGATGTGTCATGTGACACATTTTTGGAAATTTCTGTAAATCCCCCCTCCCCATGCACTCTAATTGCACTTGGTTTGCAACTTGGGAATGCACAAATGGGTGACAACCTTTTCGCATTCTATCAATTTCCAAACATGTGTCAAGTGATACATTTTTTTAAATTTCTGTGATTCCCCCCCCCCCTCAAATGTGTTCTAATTGAGTGGTCGGGCAATGAAATCTAATAGGCCCCAGGCCTCTCTTGATATTCCTCGATGAAATCCAACTCAGCAGCCTGACTCCAGCCTGATCTCAAGATCCCCTGACTCCTGTCAGAGTCTTAATAATTAAAGATATCAACTACAACTGATGTAAATCACAGTTACTAACTGTCTAGATATCCGCTCTCCGACTCTGGCTCCCCAAAGTTTTTCTCCCCAAAACTTTGCTGCCCAAAACTTTGCTCCCCAAAACTTTGCTCCCCAGCTCAGCTCAGCTCCCCAATTTCATCAAGTTGGCTCCCCCAACTCAAGTTGTAAAGATGACATACTCTCTAGGTATCTCAGCTCCCCAAACTGGCCAAAGCACTATGTGTAAATACAGTTAGAGATCAGCAGTAGAGTTCGCAGCTAGCAGTAGACCAACACCCATCAAAGAACCGTACCCAGAATGAACAAAATCTGCCCTATTTATACCCTATTGGCCCAGCGCAAAAATCGAAAGTACACGCTAGTAAATAGGCCACGCCCATTTTGTAAAAATCACAGTATACTGAATTCACATAGCGATAGTTTCCCCTCAATTTCTCCAGAATTATACAGCAAAATATCACACAAAAAGGCTTAAATTAATCTTCAAGACATTCCTTACAGTAAATCTGTTGTAAACATGTGAATAAATTATACAGAATCCCCCAAATGCTCACTTTTACAAGTAGTGAATGAATGTAAACAAACCTTAAAGGGAAAATACAACATTTGCAAACATCAAAAAATAAAACTACCAAATCATTTTGAAATACCTTGCTTGACTATTAGTGAATGACAGTGTAAAGCATCCTGTAAAATCATGGCACCTGGTATACTGTCATTTTCAAGAAAAGTGGTATTCTTGTATCAATTTCCAACGCTGGTCGGCCGACCAGTGTTGGAAAAAACTGGCTTTTTCCCAAATACTGGCCCCAATTGACCACCCCACTTGTTTGCAATCAATTACACACCTATGAACGGGTACGAGCCAGCTAGACTGGTTCTCTGACCTTACAATTCCCCAATGTATGTAAACTGCTCTGTTTCTTCTTATATGGAGTCAGGGAACCAGACTACAGGAAAATGATTGTTTTTCTTGGTTTTTATAGCATTTTTGAACCCAAAACCTCAAAAGGTCAGTGTAACTATATTTGCTATATATTTCCAAACCCCCCAATTCCATTCATTTCTGAAAATTACAGCAAAAGCAAATAATGTATATTCCCTTTAAGTTCATTGAAGAAAATTCAGTGATGTCACAGATATGAATAATCATGAGACAGTCACTGACTTGCCCAACCTCGTTCCCATGGGTACGAGATCTTTCTGCGCCATGTTGCTTCCCATCATGCCTTGCGCGATCTTAACCCCTGGAATTGTGTAATTTAAACTATCGAAATATGGCACATTATACGGTAATTAGGCAGAAGTTTATCCATTTGACGTGCCGACGCCATCTTTAAAATGTTAAAAATTGTGATTTTGAAGAATCCATCCTTTCAAACATAAGGTTTGGACACTGCGTTATTTAGCAAAGATTTGTATTAAATGTATCAATCTTCGAAATGCGCGCGCAGTACACTCTGAATAGCCAGTCAGCATCATTGATGTGTACATCACGGCCAGGGGTTAGTGAAGGAATGTGCACGCGCCCATGGAGTCGAGGCTGTGACTTACCAGACGAAATCTGACAGAAAAGTCATCAAAACTTGCCCAACTTTCAAAGTTGATTCAAATTAGACAACCTCACATCTAAAGAAGCTACATAATTATTTAGTAAAACGTTCTAATAATATAAATTACTTTTTAGAAGTCTCAGTTTGCTAGAAATAATTTTAGAACTTTCAGCCAATCAGAAACGTTTTAAGCGCTGCTCAAATGGCAGCCATGTTGGATTTTACCATCACGCTATTTATAGCACAGCTGACATGTGTAAACAAACACGTGAGTGTACACACAGAATTTCGGCAGGAAAATACTCAAAACTACCTAGAAATAATACTAAAAAGACAACAGGAATTTTCTAGACAAAAATGCCAGATCTCTAGGAGGATATAGGTAAGATTTAGAGTAATAAAACTTAAGTAAAAAGTGGGATTTGGGGGCATTTTGGTCACAGTATGATCCAGAAACCTAGTGTTAACTTGTACCATGTTACGAAGATGTTCTAGGGCCACGAGAATGAAAGTTATAGATTTGCGTCCACCTCCCGCATGCCTGAAAAGCTACCGCACGAAAATGTTCATTATTTCAAAAAATTTCATTATTACAAAAAATTTCATTATAAAAAAAAAAAAACTTTCCAAATCGCGCACAGCGGAAAGACGATCTATTTATCCATAAATGCAGCTATGAAAACAGTATCATCGCTTTGCCAGTGTCGCGGCGTCGTTGGGGACACAGGTCAAATCGCTCCAACCGCACCGACCAATGGGTACTCCTAGAACTATGATGCTCCGCGTGAGCGGAGCCTCATTAGACACAGAACTCCGCAAAATTGTTTGCAGCACAAAACACCAATTAAGTACAAAAACGTCCATCAAAACAGAGACATTTCCCACAGAACCGCTGCACAGTTTGCCCCTAAACTTCGAACAATACCTCATGACATACTCACGTTATGTGCACCCAACAAACATCGGTGGATTCTGTCTGTTTTCGGCAAAAATGATGAAAAATATGCCCTTTCCGCACTGAGCCAACCTAACACTTGAAACGAGCACGCGCGCAGAATGATCGCAGTCATTTTCGGTTCGATCGCTCGGAGCGCGCCGCGGGGGGTATGGTGTAGAGCGGAACGATAGTATGCGCATGCGTACAAGTGCAAGTACGTACCCCCCGCGGCGCGCTCCGAGCGATCGAACCGAAAATGACTGCGATCATTCTGCGCGCGTGCTCGTTTCAAGTGTTAGGTTGGCTCAGTGCGGAAAGGGCATATTTTTCATCATATTTGCCGAAAACAGACAGAATCCACCGATGTTTGTTGGGTGCACATAACGTGACTATGTCATGAGGTATTGTTTGAAGTTTAGGGGCAATCTGTGCAGCGGTTCTGTGGGAAATGTCTCTGTTTTGATGGACGTTTTTGTACTTAATTGGTGTTTTGTGCTGCAAACAATTTTGCGGAGTTCTGTGTCTATGAGGCTCCGCTCATGCGGAGCCTCATAGTTCTAGGAGTAACCAATGGGCACATCGGATTCTCGCAATGTCTCCACGCGCACGCGTGCGCGTGCGTTGATACCATGCATTGTTCTCGTCTGGATGACGGTGATACCTACCCGCAATGCGAGGACTGCCTTGAGCCGCAGATACAGAAGAGGCATTAGGCCTAGTCACGAAATCAGTGATATGGTACCACGATCTACATGAGGCTCTGAGCTGTTTCATTTGTTGACATTCCTGGATAATTCGTTTTTAGATTCACATTTTTTCTTTAAAAAAACCCTGTGTGTAAACACCTGTTCACATAGTACAATATACTATATAGGCCTACTATGGTTGTGTAAATATACTACATTACATGGGTGCAGCATGGGTGTAGCATGGGTGTATCATCAATATACATATAGTATATGGGTATATGTGAAAACTCTGGCTATGCCGCTGCTTGTATTATGTAAAACACCATGGTCAATAAAAAATAATGAATAATGAAAAAAAGCCTCATGTGTTTTCAAAAAAGTCCGGACACAAATCTATAACTTTCCTTCTCGTGGCCTAAATTTTGTTACGTCATCATGACGTCATCAAGTATCAAATTACAAGCAATTTTAGGGCAAATTCTGACAAAATAGTTTGCGCTGTATCTTTTGAACTACATAGAGTATCGTGTTCGTTTTTTCGTGAGGTTGTAGACTATGCCGTGAGAAACATTTCTTGTTCCAGACACAAAACCGCTTGACCTTCACCGAATGCAAGTCAAAAGTGGAAGCATTTTACTACACACATATTATGAAAGTGAGGAATACCAGACACAAAAAAAGTGTGATGACGTCATCATCCGAAAGGGCGCCCCCTAGCGGCACATCCAATAGAGTTTGCTTTCTTTAATTTTAGAATTTGAAAAGGATCATATTTTAAATTTAATTCTATCATTTGATCCCTGTCATATCTTCGTAGTCCAAGTAATGATATCCATTACAATGTTCACGTTTGGATAACTCTAATGCTGTGACGTCATCAAACTGGAAGTTAGGTGTTATTAATTAATACAAACAATTATATTTCCCATATTTTCATACGTTTTTTTTCACTTCACAATGAAAATGTATCCTCTCCGAACTTTATCAGTATTCACTTACCGCTTTTGACTGATGATGTCATCAAATCAGAAATAACTTTTTTGTGCACATAGAATGTTTACTGAAATTTATCACACTATTAAAGATACATTTTTTTAACAAATTCATTGATTGTACTGGAAGGGATTTAATTTTGTGAACCTTTGTTCTACATAGACATATATTCCTAACTTAACTGGGCAGTGTATAACAGTTCAGTTCGTTCTTGGTTTTCAATTGGAGAATCCACAAATGGGTGAAACCGGCTGAATGAGAATCATGTCCCAAATGCTGATTTGGGGAATGTGTCATGAGAGGGCGCAATTCAAAATATGACTCTGCAACTAAGGCTGAAACGATACATCGATATATCGGTGCATCGCGATACATTCGTTCACGATACGATATATCGGTACGAATGTTTGATATCGATATTATTAATAATAATATAATAAATAACAGCGGCAGTGCACCGAAAGAAAATTGCAAGCAACTGCGATGCATGAGAAGCACGAAATGTAAAAATAATAATGCAAAGAATAAAAATAAGATTCACATGTGTATTTAATGTACTGGTACAAGAAGAGATGTGTTGCTGAAATGAATTATCAATTAATACAGTTATTAACAAACCGAAACCAAAACCGAGTGGTAAAAAGTACGGTGAAAGCTGTCTTAGACGCTTGCGGCCAGCCGTACGTGATACCATGGAGGATTCCTCCATCGTGATACTAGTGCAGCTGCTGCTATGCGGCATGCTTAATTCCCCAGCGGACCACACCATTTGTGGTAATGAAGGGGTGGTGTTCTTTCTTGGGAACAATAATTACCAATATTTCCGCTGATTAAAAAAAGAAAAATGACGACCAATACTTGTTATGGTGTTCGAAATATTTCTTTATTAGATAATAAGTTGTTCAACGTCACAATATATTTTTTTGAACACAAACGATGTAAAACTAAAAAAGGGGACTGAATCACCCCTTGCAAAATTAATGGATTCGCCCATGAAAATGTCGGCATCGTTTCCTACGGCGCTACAGGACAAGATCTTTGGTTTTGATTTTTTTAAGAAAGTTACGATCGAAACTCAAACTTTCAACGTAACTACTCGCTAGTAATCACACAAATTTGATAAGTTTTGAGGTCAAACGGCACCTGTTTAGTCTTAGGGCAAAACAAATCAGCAACTGTTTCCACAAAAACAAGATTTGTAACGCTCCAGTCAGACATGGAGGAAGGAACACAGACAACACACGGTGGGTTGCATTCTCTCTCACGTGCTGCAGGAAAATGTTGTCATTCACCAGCGCAGGCTGCCGGTGCCGGGCCATGCATTAACTTTTAAGGCCGGGGACCGGACGGGGCAGCCGGCAGTAATTCCCGTAGTTTATTTCTCATCATCAATTTCCATATTTGTTTGTTAGAGTATCTATTGTAAATGATTTGATATAACTTTTGTGGCCCTTTTTATAGCTTCTGTAGTGTAAATGGAACTGGCTCAGAGCATTTTGACTAGAATTTGGAGGCCTTACAAAATTGAAACCGCTGCGGTCGGTGCGGCTTATTAGCCGCGCGGCTTATATTCAGAAAATTACGGTAGTACCTTACTGTATTTGTGTATTATCAGAAACGAGTAGAGACAGATTAAAGAGGACTTAGACCCTGATTAAGTTCATCTGATATGATTTTATTTATTTTTTTATACCAAGATATATCGCGATATTTATCGTATCGTTTGATATGTATCGTGATACGTATCATATTGTGACACAGGCGTAGCGTTTCAGCCTTACCGGCAACTTTGGAATTTGAGATTCAGAATATTGTGGTTATGTTTGTTCAGTTTTCTCAAAATATAGAGCATTCATAGAGCCAAAACTTCATCAGGTTAGTTATTACATTGTAAGCATCCTTGTTTAGATGAGCACTAGTTTGCTGGTTGAAATGAAATAAAAAAAATCACAAATTACACGGTTTAATTGCCAAACATGCTTTCAAGAACACGCTGCAAGAAACAGCTGTCGTATTGCAACTCGTAACTTATTTTCAACTGTTGCCGTAGCTTCCAATGTAGAAACATTTCCTTATGATTGTTACTGTTATTCCTGTTTTGTTATTTTTGCTCAAACAGCTGATTGAAATCAACCAGTCTGAGTTAGTTCTCTTGGTTGGGGAGTTATTTGGGTGGTAACGAAGCAGTGGACCAGGCAATCAATCGAGCACACCATTGAGACATGGATCAACCTCCACTGATTGACGGAGTTGGGCTGACTAAGATTTACACCAAGTAAGTAGCAAGTTTGATTCCTCTTTTGTTCCATGGTGTAGCCTTAGTTATCCTTGAATGAATTGAAAAGTTTTTGGTTCATATCCTCTGCTTGATCCTCTGTTCTATTGACCCTGAGTCTTTGTACCCCCAGGTGACGATAACGCGACGCCATGTCCAGTCATGCAATGTCAATTCAGTTTGAGAGGTAGTCTGGTAAAAAAGGATGGTTGAATCGTTACATTACACTTTTTTAACAAATTTAAGAATGTGATGACAGAATTTCAGAAAGTTGACTGGATATTGCCGCTAGGCATCATCATGCAGTTTGACTTCACGCCGGTGCCGTGCGAGCGTGAAAGTAAGGTTGTGATGAAAGATGTTTTCCTAGGGATATCTTAAATTGGGATGATGATGTTTGATGAATAAGATCATTTGGGAGCTCGTTTCAGTCTTCAATCGTCTTTGGGAACAAACTTTTGTGGTACGCTTGTGTGCGGCATTGCAAGGAAGCGTAGGGCTGATTATGTCTATTTCTTTGTGGTCGTTCTACTGGGGTGATGTAATAAGGGATGTCAAGGGCAATTTCTTCATGGATGGAGCGGTAAAGCATAGTGACCCTGCTGACTGTTCTGCAGTGTTGGAGGCATGGGCTCACAAAACCAAGTGTTGTATTAGCTCTGCTTGCTATTTGAATGATGTGAAGAGACCATGACAAATCTTTTTGAATTTCAACTCCAAGGTATGGATGGTTGGGTACAACAGAAAGGTTGGCATTCATCAATCTGTTGATATTATCATGATGATTTTTGCTTCTTGTCATATGTAGGGTGTGACATTTCTGTGGCTTAAAAGACATCTGCCATTGATGAGACCAGCTCACAAGGCTATCCAGATCTTTTTGGAGTTGTTGTTGGTCATTGAAGTTAGCAATGCGTCGGAATAGTAGGCAGTCATCAGCAAATAACTTGATTTTGGTGTCTTTGCTAATGTTGTCACCAATGTCATTGATGTAGAGTAGAAACATCAAAGGGCCTAGTACGGTGCCCTGGGGGACTCCTGATGTAGGGCTGATGTTTCTCCATCTACAACTACTTGTTGGGTTCTGTTGGTTAACCATGTTCTGATCCATGTCAAGGTGTTGCCTCTAATCCCATAGTGTTCTATTTTATGAAGTAATCTCTCATGGGCTACAGTGTCGAATGCTTTGCTGAAGTCAAGCACCTGCACATCTATCTGAGCTTTGTTATTTTGATCTAGGTGTCGATGGATTTCTTCCATGGTGTTTATGAGCTGGGTTTCACACAAGTGATTAAAGATATGTTCCAGTAATTTGCAGGCTACCCACGTGAGGGAAACTGGTCTGTAGTTGCTTGGTGATGATTGGCCCCTCTTTTTGTATCCAATGATTTGATGGCTGTCACAAACCAGGTTCGACTTAAAAAATAGTTTTGGTTTCTGGGACACGTCACTGACAATTTTTTTTAATGAATATTAAATAAAAAGAAACAAAATTGCGCCCTCTTGTGTCAATGACAGTTTTGTTTGGATCCAAGTTGGTAAGTGGCTGGTATTATCAAACAGCTGTGGCTACTGTGTGGCTGTTGATTGTTGTATTGACCTGATAAAGTATTGTCTGCAAGTGGCAGGCATTGTCAAACAGCTGTGGCTACTGTGTGGCTGTTGATTGTTGTATTGACTTGATAAAGTATTGTCTGCAAGTGGCAGGCATTGTCAAACAGCTGTGGCTACTGTGTGGCTGTTGATTGTTGTATTGTCTGCAAGTGGCTGGTATTATCAAACAGCTGTGGCTACTGTGTGGCTGTTGATTGTTGTATTGACCTGATAAAGTATTGTCTGCAAGTGGCAGGCATTGTCAAACAGCTGTGGCTACTGTGTGGCTGTTGATTGTTGTATTGACCTGATAAAGTATTGTATGCAAGTGGCTGGTATTGTCAAACAGCTGTGGCTACTGTGTGGCTGTTGATTGTTGTATTGACCTGATAAAGTATTGTCTGCAAGTGGCAGGCATTGTCAAACAGCTGTGGCTACTGTGTGGCTGTTGATTGTTGTATTGACCTGATAAAGTATTGTCTGCAAGTGGAAGGCATTGTCAAACAGCTGTGGCTACTGTGTGGCTGTTGATTGTTGTATTGACCTGATAAAGTATTGTCTGCAAGTGGCAGGCATTGTCAAACAGCTGTGGCTACTGTGTGGCTGTTGATTGTTGTATTGACCTGATAAAGTATTGTCTGCAAGTGGCAGGCATTGTCAAACAGCTGTGGCTACTGTGTGGCTGTTGATTGTTGTATTGACCTGATAAAGTATTGTCTGCAAGTGGCAGGCATTGTCAAACAGCTGGGGCTACTGTGTGGCTGTTGATTGTTGTATTGACCTGATAAAGTATTGTCTGCAAGTGGCAGGCATTGTCAAACAGCTGTGGCTACTGTGTTGCTGTTGATTGTTGTATTGACCTGATAAAGTATTGTCTGCAAGTGGCTGGCATTGTCAGACAGCTGTGGCTACTGTGTGGCTGTTGATTGTTGTATTGACCTGATAAAGTATTGCATGCAAGTGGCAGGCATTGTCAAACAGCTGTGGCTACTGTGTGGCTGTTGATTGTTGTATTGTCTGCAAGTGGCTGGTATTGTCAAACAGCTGTGGCCAAGGGCGGATCCAGAACACAATTTTTGGGGGGGCCAAAACAAATTTTGGTCCCCCGAAAAAGTGGGTCAAAAAAATTACGGCGTGGGGTTCGGGGCCCGCTAGGGCCCCGAAAATTTTTTGGATTCTAGATGCTCTGTGGTGCGATCTGAGGCAATTTCTGACCACTTCAGCCAATGTTTTTGAGGAAACGATCGTAGTGTACTCATTGCCTGCCTTTATTTCGATGTCACATTAAAAAAAAAAAAAGAATTGGTTTCGTTTTGGGGGGGGCCATGGCCCCCTTTGGCCCCCCCTGGATCCGCCCTTGGCTGTGGCTACTGTGTGGCTGTTGATTGTTGTATTGTCTGCAAGTGGTTGGTATTGTCAAAGACATAACGAGCCCAGCCCAGGTAGCTAATTACATCAACAAGCTACTGGTGGCTGTCACTGATGATCTCCAGCCTGTTGACACTGCTCAACTACCAGCATATCTGCCATCACAGGTACCTCCTCCCAACGTTCAACCCTGGGAGGTGTTCCACGAACTGAAACGTGTTAAAGTTGGCAAATCAGGTGGACCGGATAATGTACCTGCTCGCATTATCAGGGAGTTCGCTTGTGAACTGAGCACGCCATTGGCCCACATATTCAATACATCTCTTAACTGTGGAGTGGTTCCTGACCTGTGGAAACGAGCCACTATTGTTCCAATTCCCAAAACATCACCAGCTGTGGCCGACAAGTTAAGGCCGATTGCTCTTACAGACCATTTTGCCAAAGTTCTTGAAGGGTTTGTTGCCAAATGGACCTTTGAGGATTTGGCACCTAACATAGATCAACACCAGTTTGGAAATCGCAAGGGATTTTGCACCACACACTATCTTGTTGACTTGCTACATACTTTGTTTCAACATGCAGAGAAACCTAAAACATCATCCACGCTTATCTTAACTGACTTCAGCAAGGCCTTCGATCACATTGACCACAACATCGCTATCACGAAACTACTTGCCTTAGGAGTTGAACCCACACTAGTCCAGTGGATTTGTAACTTTCTCAGTAACCGACAGCAGTGTGTGCGTTATCAAAGAATCAACTCTGATTGGACCAATGTGCATGCTGGTGTCCAGCAGGGAACACGCCTTGGACCAATCGTGTTTCTAGCAGTAGTCAATGATACGCTCCAAAACAATCATGACTCCACACATTACTGGAAATATGTAGATGACCTGAGTATAGTTGAGAATCGGTCCTCACATGCACCATCAAGGATGCAAGAATCCCTTGAGTCCCTTGTTCTGTGGTCTCAAACAAACAACATGAAGCTCAATCCTGCGAAATGTTCATCAATGGAAACTAACTTCATGAGAGACCCCCCAATCCCACCAATCTTCACCATATATGGTCAACAGCTCCCGCAGTCGGATACAGTGAAACTCCTGGGTGTACACATACAGAAGAATCTCAAGTGGGATACAAATGTCGACTCAATATTACAACGAGCAAATGGAAGGTTACACATGATCCAAGTTCTCAAAGGCCATGGTGGCAGGCATTGTCAAACAGCTGTGGCTACTGTGTGGCTGTTGATTGTTGTATTGTCTGCAAGTGGCTGGAATTGTCAAACAGCTGTGGCTACTGTGTGGCTGTTGATTGTTGTATTGTCTGCAAGTGGCTGGTATTGTCAAACAGCTGTGGCTACTGTGTGGCTGTTGATTAATTTATTGACTCGATAAAGTATTGTCTGAAAGTGGCAGGCATTGTCAAACAGCTGTGGCTACTCTGTGGCTGTTGATTGTTGTATTGTCTGCAAGTGGCTGGTATTATCAAACAGCTGTGGCTACTGCCTGGCTGTTGATTGTTGTATTGACCTGATAAAGTATTGCATGCAAGTGGCAGGCATTGTCAAACAGCTGTGGCTACTGTGTGGCTGTTGATTGTTGTATTGACTGCAAGTGGCTGGTATTGTCAAACAGCTGTGGCTACTGTGTGGCTGTTGATTGTTGTATTGACTTGATAAAGTATTGTCTACAAGTGGCAGGCATTGTCAAACAGCTGTGGAAACTGTGTGGCTGGCTACCGTGAATGCTCTTTGGAATTCTTGTGGTAAGTTTTATTTTAGAAACAAAAAGAGACCTGTAGATGAAGAAATATGATTCCTCGGGTGGTATTTTAACACCCCCCCCCCATGCAAAATATACAGTGCTTGATTTCCTATCAAAATATGTATTCAAAGTTTGCATTAAACTCGTTCTCAAATGCTATACTTTTCATTTCGAAAATTTCAGTAAAAAATGATTGTGTATGTCTTTGAAATGTCAGTATGAAATGGTGTACATAA